ACCTCCTCAAATAACCTCCTCACTTTAAGCCTTCATTATAGCCTTTCCGTAAAGAGGAAAGGTGCTTCAGAGTTGTTGAATCATAACATTCCACCATACTTCCATACTTGACGTTACCACTCTACCGATATGAGCCCAATAGTAGCCCATTTTTCATCAATTCAGAAGAGTCCATGAGTGGAGTGATCAATTTCCTTTCTCCTTGGTAGGTACCCATTTCAGAAGAGTCCATGAGTGGAGTGATCAATTTCCTTTCTCCTTGGTAGGTACAGATGAAATGCCCAATGCTCTAGCCAGCATACCCAAAAGATGGAACCTCCCAAACGCCGCCATCATCACCTCACTCACGATAGTAGAAATAATAGGGTATGGTGTTGCTGAATATGTAGTCTACATGCATAGCTAAGAATGCTAAAGCGTTGGAGAAAATTGTTGTTGATCGAGAAGGGTGGTGTGTGTTCTAAAAGTTCTAAGATAAAAATTGTATGGCGGAATTTTAGTACATTCAGTGCAACTGCCCTTGGGTTCAAATTAAGCAAAACATTCACTGCCAAAAACAGAGAACACTCAGCCGCATTCATGGAAATTGTTCTAAGATGCCTATAGAACAGATTTTATTAAGTAGCAAAACCTAAAAGAGATCAGAACAAAACAGTATTCCGAAAGCATAACACCATAATCTGTTTTCTACTTATTTAGCAGAGTCAGATTCATTAAGTTCAAACATGGTTGGCAGGCAACCAAAACACCACCAACATGCACACTTGATCATGCACTTGCACCTGAAGCTCCTGCCTGTTTCCTAGCCTCTTCTCGCATCACTGCTCTTACATATATTTCATAGCAGCAGCCTGAATAAACATCATAGACACATGAGCACTTGGACCACTGTAACTAGCAAAACAAGACAGGAATTCCTTGATATTGTCCCATTTGTATAACCAAACAAATACCCGCATATAAAATCACGTTAGCCAACACAAGATACCATATTAACTTCAATTAACACTTAAAATGCATTCCATTATTCAACCCTATCTTGGAGGTAAAAACGGAATGGTTGAAATCAAAGAACACAAGATTATTAGTCAAAACAAATTTGAACAGCTGACCAACACTAGTTTGGTTCTCTGATCAGGTCATGATGATCCTGATTGCTATTCTTCATTGTTGTCAAGGCCACTTACACAGATAGGACAAAGTATTTATATATATTTTTTTCCATGAATGTAAAAACAACAGATTCTCTCCCTAGTTTGGAGGTGGATAAGTTTGTGAATGTGCATGTGTGAATATAAACACACTTCGCAACCCCTAAAAAGCAAATGTCATTGTTGAGGGGAATGCAAGTTCTAAGCTTAAGCTACAAGGGCAAGAAAATCTAACACCCCCCCACCCCACCCCACCTCCCTCTTTATTTTTATGCATGCTGGAAGTTTTCTGGTTTTACTGCAGAGTTTACTAACCAGACAATAAATGCAATCGAATCAATTGATCATAGGTTAGACAAAGACTAGGAAAAATAACAAATCCATAAACATTATAACAAAACTGCTGGCAACATTTTTTTTAATTTACAACAAAGATTCCACAAGACCAAGGCTTCATGCAACCAAGACCATTCAGAAAGTCAGAAGAATTTTATAGGTAAGTCTAATCACAAGTATCATGGTAAATTAAATTTGTGAAAAGCTAGTGAAAAAGATAAAATATTCTTAATCCATAAGCAAAAGCATTACGTACTAGCAACAACAACAACGGTAAGAACATCTCCAAGTCTTTTAATTCTCGCCACACCCTTCTTATGCGATTTGAATCGTTTTAGAGATGGGTCCTCTGCCAAGAGCTGCAAAAGTTAAACAGTCCTACTCAAGCACAATGCACAACTGAACTAGAAAAATACAAAACCAGCACAATCTTAAAAATTTGAGGTTTGATAATAATCAGAAACCGTCCACGCAAAGCCCCCAACTTTTAACATCTCTTGGTTTAAATCATCACTGAAATGAGCTCAAGAAGCCCCGGCATGAATATCCGTACAAGTTTCTAGAACTAAAACTGAAACTTTTAAGCTATTTGCTCAAATGGGTTTTTACTCTAACTATCTAAAATGCTAAAATACCAAATTTCATGGACGAATCTCAAACAGCTGCCCACATCGAATTAAAATGAAAGCAAACATGTATTGCTGAAAAAAAAAATTAAGAGAGAGAGACTCACAGCTTTCTCGCGAGGCCCTGGTTCGACATGGAACTGACGGCGCGATTGGGAAAGCGAGTCGTTTTGTGCCCTCTGATTGTTCAAGTGAAAGAGTTAGATTTAGCGAGAGAGATTACCGAACCAAATGAAAACGACGACGTTTCAGATCGAAAAAGCGAGGAAAGATTGAAGCATACCTGTGAATGAGATTGGAAATGAGAAGTGATGGAATTGCGAAGCAGGAACGCCATGACTGATGAATCTGTAAGGACTCCGATGATAAAAGAGCCAAACTTTGTTTATTATTTGCGCAAAGACTCGAGATTTGCTATCAGGTTCAATTTTGTATTTTTAATTTTGCGGTGGTACCCCCATAGTTTGCTCATATCGTTTTAGGTTCCACAACCACGAGTTTGATGCTATGCTACTTTCCCAAATACTAGGCCACGTGTCTTACTATGGGTGAATCCCATGCTGCCACGTCAACATGGTAGTTATGAGCTTATGATTTATGAACCAGGGCAGTCCAAGCAAACTAACTTATGAATCTTTTGGGTTCCAAGATTTGCAAGGAGAGCAAATGGCATTGAGAGCAGCTGCTACAGCATGTAAATTTGCAGGAAGACAGAGAAACCCAACTCTCTTTGCAATTCCTCTCTATCTCCAACTCAAGCTTCATCAGAATCAACCCCAAACATTCACATCAGCTGCTCCTATTCACCAACCTGGTGAGTGGTTTGGTTTATATGATATCAAAGAATCAAGAAGAAATTTTTGCACTTTGCAAAATGGTTCAATTTTATGATGCATATTTATCCATTTGCAGGATTTAAATCTGCAATAAGGGCTCTAAGTGGGGCAGCTGCAGATCCCATAACTCCTCCCAAGAAAGGAGATGATCAAGAACCAACACCCCAGAATTGGAAGATTAAAATGCTTTATGATGGGGATTGCCCTTTATGCATGAGAGAGGTCAACCTTCTTCAAACACATATTCTTGTCACTAATCTTTTTATAATGCAAGAGTTTGATGAGTTTTGTGTGTATGGAGAATATGAATTGTTTTTATTCATAATTGAAGTTTTTTTATATTTTCCAGGTGGACATGCTAAGAGAGAGAAATAAGCTCTATGGTACTATCAAGTTTGTTGACATAAGTTCAGATGACTACTCCCCAGAGGAGAATCAAGGGCTGGACTATAAAACTGTGAGTTTTGCAATGTTGCAATTTTTTTATACTTACAACTTGCCATTTGCAGAATGTTCATGAAAGTGTATATGAAAAACATCCTAGCTTGAAAAATAGATTGATGCTAGAACATCTTTTTGACAGATATATTACAATTTAGTGACAAATTCTTGCTTTTTTTAGGTTATGGGAAACATTCATGCCATCCTCTCCGATGGAACAGTAGTCACTGATGTGGAAGTAATCTCCTTTCCTACTATGTTTGAACTTCTAATTTTAATCTGCAACAAGTAGTTTTCTGTGGAACTCTCATTTTCTGTGCAGAGAATGCTATCATCAGCAATTTTGAACCCGCAAGTTTCTTTAAGCTGACTAACAGGCATTGGCTAATGGAAACTTCTGCAGGCATTCAGAAAGCTGTATGAACAAGTAGGGCTTGGATGGGTATATGCCATAACCAAATACGAACCTGTGAGATTCCTTTGTCGATTCTAATGTTACCTGCATTGGGATTCATCTACTTCCATCTTGTAGAAGTAGGTGGTCTACAATAGTTTTCTTGTCTTGTTATCTTTAATCTGGGGTTCGTTGAAAACATTTTGTTCACAGATTGCAACTATAGCTGGTGCTATTTATGGTGTTTGGGCTAAATATCGTCTCCAAATCACAGGTAAATCATATCGCATAAGTAGTTTTTTTTCCATGGTTCTTGAGCAGAATTGATGTGTTCTTAGCTTCCATGGCCGAAAGGAATAGTATGCTAATATTTGAACTCTTTTGCTCCGATATAATAGAATAAGTTAATAACAGAACCACACCAGACTTATGACTTACATGTTCAAATCAGTAACTTTTAGACTGTTGGAATTGGCAAATAAATCCTTTCTTGCGTCTAACCAATTTTCTATCAAAAGAAGTTAAGAGTTCTTGAAGTATTACTTGCTATAAAAACCTGATCACTCACATCCATGGCTTATCTTCTTATACTTTTTCCTTTCTTGAACTTGTGGTATATGATGTCAATAACCTGTTTTTGTTCTAGGTCGACCACCTTTAGAAGAGGTTTTGGAGTTGCGAAAGAAGAAGGCAAGCACCTTTCAATAGCATTTCCTTGCTATTATCCTTCAATACCTTTTATTAGATTTAAATTGGAATTGAACCATAGGTTTCTGTTTGACATTAAACAGTCTAGAGCTCAGGTTTATTTTTCGCTTTCTGATACAGGGCGAAGTATGCAAAGATGGAAATGCCTGTAAACTTCCAGAGTAACTGCTACTAGTCCTGATACTGAAAGTTTGGTGTTCGGTTGCTCCCATTTTCTATCATCTTCCAAACTTCGGAGTTTATATGAGCCCATGTCACCTACTGGGTTTCTTTTTTGCCCTTTTAGCTAGCACCAAACACTGGTATACCATAGAAAGGCATGGGGAGTTGCTCTCTCTTAATTGCCCCTGCTGTCTGGCTCAAGAAAAAGAATGCGGATGTAGTCTCTTTCCAAATTTAAAGACCACTTGTTCACAGGAATGCAGATGTATAAATTTTCAAACTCATACATTGTTTTCCCTGAGTTATATGTAAACATACAATCTGATGACTGTAAAATGTTGATATGCTGAATTCTAGATTGCTTCAGTTTATTGTTACTTAGACTTCTTTCGGTGTCGAAAGTTCATTTTTACATTATTAACATGTCGCAAGTTCCTCCAACTACCAAATCTTCTTTCCCTGTCCACTAAGAAGCTTCAGTATAAATTCATTGATGTTGTAATCTGAGGTTCCACCAATACTAACAGCTTTCTTTGCAGCCTCTCTCCATTTCAGGGAATTCTTTTTTATCTGTCCGCTTCTTTCTCCAACCATGACTTCCCTTATACACATCTCTAGCTCTTCCCTACTCACAATTCCCTCTTCACTTTTCTTAACTTTCACCCCAACCCCCCACAACTCCTCCACAAATTTGGCATTAGTTGGCTGGTCGCTCCACTGTGGCATTGCCACCATCGGCACGCCTAGGCTCAACCCCTCCAACGTGGAATTCCATCCGCAGTGAGTTATAAAACAACCCACAGCCTGGTGCGCTAGAACCTCTAGTTGGTTGCACCATGTCACCACCAAACCAGTTTCACCTATTGAGCTCAGGAATTCATCTGGCAATTTGGTCTTGGGCTCTTTCACAACCCATAGAAAATTCTGATTACTTGCTTTCAAGCCCCATGCAATTTCTTCAACCTGTTTAGCTGCAATATCTGCCATGCTTCCAAATGAAATGTATATCACACTTTCAGGTGGTTTCTTCTCCAGCCATTTCATGCACTGGTCTGTAGTTGGCTTCCAAAGATTGGCTCCATAATCTCTGTCTCCTTCAATTTCTTGGTCCAAGTAGCTTGATGGCACCATTGGACCGATCATCACCAGGGGCCACAGTCCCAGCATTTCCTTCACAAGCTTTTCAACAGAGATGAATTAAAATAAGAACATTTAGAATTGCAATTACTTTACAAATAGGAAAAGATCATAATATTGACCTTACCAAAATGATTTAGATCTTTGAAGAAATATGAGTTTTATATCATCATCAAGCAAGTAAAAGTCAAACCTCTTTATGTTTAGTGGTTTATACACCATCCACCAAATATTCTAAAAGGATTTAAACGACTTTTAGTCCTGAAATTTCTTAGCATTTGATTACTTTCAAAAGAGAAATGATATTTCATGATGCTTGTATATGAAATTTTTTTTTTAATAAAAAAAATTATAGTTAATTTCTGACATATAATATAAAATTCCCGCTCACCAATTTATTTCCTACTTAAAAGAAATAAACCCAATTTGTTATGTATTCTGGTAATCTACAAACTACTGAAATTAGTTGTTCAGCTAATTCAAGTAAGATCAAAATCTGAGTGAGAATATTGCACTTACCTCGCTTTCCAACTCTTCAAAGGAGTTGCAGAACACCCAGTCATTTTCCTCCAGACTGCTAAACTGTTCCAAGATGAGAGCCAAATAGGGAGAGTGAGGAGCAGGCTGTGAAATAAAAATTGGCAAGTCAGAAAGAGCAAGTGGAGGAAGGCCAGGCATCAGCAAAGGCTCAGTTTCTTGCTTCACAGGAAAAGCCTGATGCCCATGAATGATATGCCAGTACATGGAGCAGACAGAAGCTGAGTTTGTCAAGAACACAGCTCCATAGATATTGAACTTTTTGGCCACATCAATTGCCCAAGAAAGCAATGAATCATACACAATACAGTTGACAGGTGAGCCTGAGGCACTGAACTTGAGTATGAGCTCTGATAAAGCTCTTGAGCCAACTGTTTTGAATGAGTCTAAGTAGGCTTCTACACTTGGGGCTTGCTTGAATCCACTTTCATCATAGCCATCAGAGATGGGTTCAACTCCTACAGAGGTTTCATGGATGGATTTGACAGTGTAATGGGTGGTGGCTAGAGTAGCCTTGAGGCCTTTGAAGGTTAAGCGTTTAGCAAACTGGAGGAGTGGATTTATGTGCCCCTGAGCAGGATATGTGAGCACAATGACATGGCCTTTTTGGTTCTGCATTTCTTGCCTTTGATGCAGTTATCTTTGTGTTCTATCAATAGAGGACATATTTATAGGCAGAGCTTGAGGTTCCTTGAACCATTTTTCCGTGGAAAATGGTGGCTGATCATAGTAAAATGGCTCCCCTAGTTGACGTTATTGGCCAATGGACTGAAGATAAGAGCAAGTCCACTGCAAGGCCTTTTGCCCTGGCAGGACAGGGCCTCGGCCCACTAACGGCTCCAGCGCTCAAGGGCAAGCCTTGCCTTGCCCTTGTCCATAGAGGTGGAAGTGCTCTAATGCGTACCCTTTGCCTGTTACACTAGTTGCTACTATTGTTTGCATGTGAAGGCTGGTTAAGTTATTCAGTTTCAATAACGGTTTTGATCAAATCCTAACTTCAAGTTGGGAAGTACAACTTCTTTCCCGATACCTTTTAAGTAAATTTAGGCAGTCTAGAATCTAGGCAGCACACAGGCAACACAGAGAGAGAGAGAGAGAGAGAGAGAGAGAGAGAGAGAGGGTACATGTAAACTTGCATAGTTGAAGAGAAAGCTATCATGACTTGAAAATGGATACCTTAATTGAACAAATGATATCGCTAAAATTATTTTTTTCGCAGCAAAGCCACTGAATAGTGGCATCCTAGCATTTCTACATATTTACGAATTACAATTTGCTTTGAGAGTTTATTTGTCTCTGGCTGGCGCCCAGAAGAACTAAGACTAGTAAACTACCAGATGTATTTACATCTAACAAAACCTCCGATAGATCTCACTCTACACCTGCACTCGTAAATATTATACGGGCAGCACTAAACATTATTTGCAATTGTAAGCAAACAATTTACACACCAGATAACTAATATCTTTGAATTTCTCGAACTTGGCTTCGTTTCAGAGCCACACTCCTCCTAATTGAGAACCACTTCAGCACACTGAATAGCTTTGTCCATCTCCTCTGAGCTTTATCAGATATGGCAACAGCTGTGGAACGTGTCAACAAGAAGCCATCTACAGCGCTTTGTAGATCAGCTTGTGATTCTGAAATTATGTTCTGGGAATGAAGATCAGCATCAAAAAACTGTAGATTATCCTCATCAAATAAAGCATGAGCCATGGGATCCGTGTCACAGATCAGGGAGTTGGTGACTTGAGCTGGGAAACTCAAAGTCTGGTCGTATCTAAGACCCAGGCCATCAATGTTGTGCAAGGCATAATCATCCAAGCCACTGGTGCTCCCCACAGAATAGATGGATGAGATGATATCTGGAGAAGAGACAGATGGGTGTGGATAATCAAATCCACCAACCTTTTGAGAAGCCAAAAACTTGCTTCCATCAGGATCATCTGCCGTTGGTGAGGTCGATGTGTGAAGAGCACTGGTAAAGTTTGAAGAAGCACCTCTAAGAGAGGCTTCGTCATCAAACGGGATTACTTCTTCCCAGTGTTCGAAGGCAGAAATTACCAACTTCTGGCCATCAGCCTAGCAACAAAATTTGATCACAAAAAATCAGACATGACTAAGAAAATAAAATGGGATTATTAAAAAAAAAAAGACATAAAGTAAACTGAGGTGATAGGTGGATTGCCTTTTGTGCTTCAGACAGCTTACTAATAGGAATGTATTCACATTCCAAAAGTAGTCCCATCACTTGCCCCACAATGTTGAAGACCACACCGGTTCTCTGCAGTGAACTGGGAGGGCAGTACAAGTACATCCTCTTATCAAGTATACACGTCTGCGCATGCTCGACTGTGACTTCCCACATCTTAGCAGACATACCTGTGCCAAGGATCTGCATTTCCAGATAATAAAATAAATTTTAACATAAATAAACTTTTATGGTCACTAGATTGAGACACATAACGCATCATTTAAATGCAAAAGACACTAACTTCAAACTTATCAGTGTGAATTATAAAGCATTGAAAAATAAATTTAACTGAGATAAGAAAAGTCAATAATTACATTCCGAAGCCTTGAAGAGTCTATGAAGAGTAGGGTGAGAAAATCCTTCACAGTGTTGATGTTTTCCCGACTCAAACGCTTATGGAAAGCTCCGTCCTTGCCAATCTTTTCTAGTCTCCACACCTCATCAAGCAGAGATGGTGGGTGGTGTTTCTTGTACACTGCAGAACCAAAAGTAGCTCAGGTTATATAATAATGTATGTTTACTTGGGTTAGCTGATCCCAAATTTGAAGGCTATGAGCCATGCATGAAAATGTAACGAGTTATTTACATCAAATAGAAGTATCGAGTGAGCAAAAAATGAATGATTCTCACATTCTCCACGGTGATCCCTGACAATAAATGATTCTGTCTTTGCTTCTTTTATTCTAGTTCCATCAAATTTATCTAAAACTCTTGCTCCTAGCCTGAACCTACGGCTCCTTGTCCAGCTTGAATTATCTGTAAAAGAAATCTCACCCACAAGACCAACCCCATCTTTAAAATTCAGGACTGCATCTCCTGTAAGAAGAGGTTTCTTTCCTTCTCTCTCTCTTACAATGTTATTCTTGAACTCTTCAAGTGTCCAATTGTCACCCTCGTCACCATCAAAATCACCCTCAAGAACAACTATTTCCACCTTGGCTGACGATTCAGGCCCAGATTTAACAACATGCCCAGTAAAGCAATCAACCAAAGCTACTTGTACAGTGGAGCATTCTTCTCCTTCAATTCGAGCTCCAGTAAATACCGGAAGAGAAAGATTATTTAAGAACTGCAGCTTTAAGATTCTTGATTCAGAAGGATGTGTTTCTTTCCCACAATTCCTGAATAGAAATACAAAACATTAATCAACTATTACCATTGCAAGTGTGACAAACTAAACTAATATTGGCCATAAAGAGTTTCCTATATCCCAAGCTTTAGAGTATAATCTTACTGTTTTATATTGGTCAAATGCTTTCTTAGGGCCAACTCAACTTCCTCTTTAACCTGAAAATACATTAGATTCAATAAATAACAATTAATTGAAGCTGCAACACCCCATAAAAAACGCATGCACGTATTGAGTTGCAAGGTGGAAAAACAATAACAATATTACAATATAGAGTTTCAATTTGCAGACAGCATTGCGGTCCCATTGAACATGCTATTACAATTCAGGTAGATAAAAACAAATAAAACCCTAAGAAACTTCAGAGTACGTGAATAAATTTTATCTTGATAAAGAAATGATATGTAGAAAAAATTGAGAAGAAACTAGCTGAAGGGCTCATAGACTCTTTGTATGGAAGGCGGATTATAAATGCCTATTCTATAATCATAAAATCTGTTCCTAGAAAAGGTTATGGTTCTTGAATGCCCAGTTTAGTCATCTCCCATGCCAGAGAAGCTAAAGTGGTATTGAACGGGCTTCCCTCCTATGATCCTAAGTTCCATATCTAAATGGAAAACTGTGGCTCAGGAACATTGACCATTTGAAGCATTTTATGGTTAAAGTGAGTCCTTGGAAAGAAGAATGCAGCTCTCCCTCACTAGGCAGAAAGGACACCTGGTGTCAGGCTAGATCAAGTGCGCTGCACCCTGAAAAGCATTGCGATATCTTACACTTCCAATGCTTAAAAGTGATCAATTTAATTCATTGATATTAGTGTATTCAAGTACTTACCAAGTTATATATATAATAACATATAACACCTATAAATATACAATATTGTTCTTCAATTACACAGTACTGCAGAAAGTGTACATGGCTTAAGCTCGATGCTTTAAAAGGAAACACTTACAACTTTACGAATCAAAGGCTCTAGAATTGGCTCCAGTAAATGCTGGACTGTGTTCAACTTCATCATTTCCAGAACCGCACTGAAAATCAATGGTACACAGTCATGAGAAAGAAACCAGATGAAAACTATCATTGTTCTGATGGATATCATAATTTATAAGAAACAGAAGGAGAATGTATGAGTTAGCTTGTGATTGAATAATCAATCTTGTTCCAGACATTGATATCAAACATAAATCCGCTTCAGGGTTCAGACTCAATTAACAATAGCGACCATTTAGGCCTTTATTCCCTCATTTTCTATATTGAATGTAAAGAACTTAACTTCTACTCAAAAACAACTGTTTCAATGTTTGATTTCCATTAACTTCGAGCAAATGCATTCATCTTTCACAAACAATGCACATTCATTCACTATTTCCAACTTATCGATGCTCTAATCACAGGGTTCACTTCTTACAAGGAATAAAGTTTTGGGAATTATAGAATCCATTTCGGACAAAACACATGCACCCAAATCGATTCTCCACGATATTAAGCCAAAAGCAATTAAATTCAACACAAGCATCTCAATCAAATTTCACAAAAGCATCACTAAGCAAAACTCAATTCATTTCTAATCCAAAACTCCCACTTTTCCTAGGAAGAAATAAAATTTCGATGACACACAAGAGTGAGTAACATTCACCAACACTTCCACAAACCAAACTAAACCCAGTTCATTTTATATCGAATATTTCCAGTTTGTAATGATTAACCCAATACAAACAAAGCAAAAAGAATCTGAAACAAGATAAAAAGGTTCATACTTGTGAAAAGTAGGAAGCCTTCTGCGTTTGTCCTCAGGACTGCCAGTCCCTTCTGATCGACCCTTACCATCTTCTTGGTGTCTCTTCTGCGACATTATCAAAAGCCCAGCAAGCACTACGGAACAGTGGCTGTGTCACTAAACGAACATGAACAACAACAGCCAAAAGCACCAACATGCGATAAGCAATAGTTATTGGAATAATTCCCCACGTATAAATAAGAGAGGAAAAGGGTTCAAATAATAAATGGCAATCAATGAGAAAAGTCCAAAACTTGGCTCGAGTGCTTTTGCGGGCATTTACCTTTACATTATCAGAATTTGGCTGCGTCTGGGATGCTTCTTCTTCGACATTAACGAAACTCAACAGCCATCTTTTTCTTTTTGTTTGTTTGTTTTTTTTTTTTCCTTTTGCCTTCTCCAGTGCCACGCAGGGGGGACACTCACTCGCAGGTGTAGATTAGGGGAAGAGAGAGTGGTGGGGGAGGAGATGGCGCGTGGGGCCCACAATAGCGCGTTTAACGACTGGTAAAAGTGGGGCCCTCTGGACATGGATTGCAATTGGTTTTATGTTGGCGTGTAAAATGGCTCGGTGATGTGTAACTGAAATTAAAATGACTAAGCTTTGTTTGTGGGGTCCAGTGGGTCCCGCTGGTTGGCATTGGATACTTGTTTTATCATGTGACATTTTAATTACAAAAAACATTTTCAGAAACATATTGAGTATTTGTTCTTCCTCCAATTATACAATATTGATCGAGTACTTAGCATACCTAACATTATCATACAAACACAATTTCCAAACCAAACAAAAAACATTATGAAAATAAAAAAATAAAAAAATTGTATCAAATTATTCACAAAACTCCATACACCAATAATGTCAAGAAATTAACAAAAAATTCATTAAAAAAAACTGTAATTTTCGACTACGTGCTTTGCAGGGTTCTATTGCTCATGAACTAAAACCTAGAAAGATAAAACATGAAGAAGGAGAAAGAAAAAAACTACTTTTTTTTTCCATATGTTTTAGGTTGAACTGTTAAAAGATTCGGTAATCTAAATACGTGGTGGTAAGAACACAGCCTATGCGGACATCCAGACATTATTATTGTGCAGACGCTGTATATTTTGTACTTTTCTTTTTTGCTTTCGTACATATTTACAATAGCATCCGCAAGATAATATTGTGCCGACACCCAATATATATATATATATGTATATGTATGACTCTATAAGATATTAATGTCAAGTCCAGGACCATAGAACAAGTTGCCATAACAATTAAAAACCTTCGATTTTTTCCACTTTAATATCGTTTGTCTTTATCTCGACATCAATTTTATGAACTGGATTTTAACCTAAAGCTTAATTAACAAATAAGTAACGTTGTGACGAAGAAGACGACCCCACCATCATAATGTTTCCCTGTATTTTCGTATGCTACGAAAAAAAAGTTGTCACATATCACAAGATCCTCATCCCATTTCCAGGAATCTTCCTCTCCTTCTGTACTAATTAGTACGTTTTGATTTTGAAGCACGTTACGAAACAGACTAGCATACAAATCCCCAAATGATGCTTGTCTTCTTATGACAACTTATAAACATAAAAATGCGAGGGTGGCCAATTGATTAGGATTGGGAGTCCGTCTGCTTGTATCGAAGTTCAATTCTTCATTTCCAATAGAATTTTAGAGAGACGTGATTTAAGTTAGTTGGTCAATGCAGTAAGTTGACCCTCTTTCACCCGAGTTCAAGTTCCTTCCATAAATATATAAATTTAAAATAATTTAGATTATAATCACACCAATAAAAAATAAAAAAGTTGTTGAAAAATCGAAAATTGACTTTCTCCCATGGATAAGGAGTGAAATTTTGATGGAGAAGATGGTCATTGCACCAGTTTGTGTTTTTCACGTTCGTAATAGAAACAAGAAACAGCAATATGCCGATTGCCGGGAAATCTTTACTTTACCTCTGTGTTGAAAAATGTTGGCATCTTTTACTTCTTCTTTTTATGGGCCCATGGGCTGATTTATTAAAATGATGGGGCCCATTTCGTTTCTTATACCTTTCGCGGGGACCAGCGGGCCTGTTGCCTGACGTAGGTCACGTGAGTGGTTATGAGATTCTCGAGCTTTTGCCACTTGTCCACTTGGTGGGTTCGAATTTGTATAGCAGTCGTGTGATGTCCAAAAAAAATCATGCAGGCGAGGTGGGGAGAGGAAGTGGGCCCATAGCAGCAAGTTACGTGCTGTTGTGATATGATCATTTGAGAATATCTTTTAGGCATTAGTCAATTTGAAATAAAAAGACTAAAGTTTTTGTTTTTGTTTTAATTTTAAAAACCATATGTCTCAATCACATTAGTTGATTGTTGTGAGCCACAGATCACATTATGTATTGCGACTCGAGACATGGTTTAGGATTAAAATATACTGATGTTTAGGTCGAGAAGTCACAAATAAAAGCTATATCGAGCATAATTAAGTGTCAATTTGGCATTGCTTATTTGGGGTGATAAGTGATTTTAAAAAAAAAATTGGGAAGCCCAGCCCGTTTAGTAAACTATGAGAAAATCACTTATTGTTAGAAATTGCTGTGAAAGAAAGCTATAAGGGAAAATATCTAATGAGGTGCTTTCCTTTTTTGATTATACATTAATCAGTTTTGAAGAGGTGATAAGTTTAATGATTATGTGACAATAATTTTATGAATAAGCGGGAATTAGTACCAACAACACTTTTAACAAAAACTTTACCAAATGCCAAGTTGTTTTTTCTCACAGTTGATTTATCTCGCTACAAATCTGACAATAATTATTTTCACAGCACAACAATACCAAACTAGCCCAAAGTGTGAGATTATGATTGATTTCTAACTGTGGATGCATACGGCTTCATTGGAAGATCTATATGGACATGTTGAAAGTTTTGAAAAAATTTCGGAGAATTCTAATGGGGCTTTTGAAGAGATACACCGGAGGCCTATGTTATTGTTGAGCCTTGAGATTGGATAGAGAAAAAATGGGCTTGAGATGGAGGGTTTGATTCCAAATTTTAGATGGGTAATCCCTAAGGAATCCAGGGCCTATTTCTATTCTTGATGTAAGGCAACCCATATTGGGCTCTATTCCCCCTTGCCTCCTTTATCTGATATTTGGTGCATGATTTGGGTTAAGTCTATGCCCCTAGTTGAAATGAAAGTCTAGGCCTATTCTTGTTGTGTAGTCTCAAAATATTTGCATGGCTGCAATCATTCACTGCGTTATGACCAATTTACCAAACTTAAATAAATAAAATAATAATAATATATATATTTTTTATTAAAAAGGGCGATAGTATAACACATTACACAGATACTACATTTGTTGATGAAGCAATTGTTTCAGACCACTACACTAGTTAATCCTTTGCATTTACCAAACAATTTTAAGAGGAAATGAAGAGCTTAATTTAAGAAGAAAAAACAAATGGTGGGTAATTGTGAGGATAATACCATAAACTAATACCAAACTTCTACAGATCACATAGCTCACACAACAATAAACATGCCTCATCTAGCTCCCATCTTTCTTCTTCTTATTCCTTTAAGCTTAAGCTTAATTACCCACTAAGCATTAAGCTTACGGGCACTTGGTTTTGTTGCCATGGGTGGTCATGTCAGTGTAGCACTTGCCACAGAGTTCTCTGTTCCCAGAAGTGCCAGGTGGCACACACTTGCACCTCACACAGCACGTACCGCACGCCCTGCTGCAAATCTTTGGCCTCGAGTGAACGCTGCACCTCTGCTTGCACAGCCCTCCACAGTCTAAACAACACAAACAAGACATTTTATAAACTCAAAATTAATTAATTTTATTGGCATTTTACTGTTTTATTTTTGCTATATTATTTTGTCTTGTGCGTGTGGAAACAATCAACAGCAAAACCAACCTATGTCTTGCATTAGCCGTCTGCTTCCGCCTCTCACAACAAGCTGCCAAAAAAAAACCCAAAAACATTTATGTTTAATCATAAAACTACAAAACAGAAGAGAAAAAATCTTGCCTTTAAAACATTTTAAACCAAAAAGAAAAAGGGCGTAGTTTTTTCTTTTCTTGCCTGCGCAAGATGAGGTAATTGTTCTTCAATCTTGATATCAGATGAAACCTGCATGGATGAACATCATAGCTCCAGTTAAACCAATAACTCATTTTTATCGTTTATTTTTCTTTATATATGCAAAACCATAGAAACCAAACTAGTCTTCTGTACCTCAGTAAGGCAGAACAGAAAAACTCCCAGCAAAAGAACCACGCGTACTGCTGCCATGGCTGTAGGCTATAGCAAGCTAGCTATCAGGCACTGGAGCTGAAGTGGTGATATGAATCCCCAGCATCATGCTCTTTATAGAAGATCCCTGTGCACCGAATTTACCCAAGTGGACACTTCCTTTGCTTGTAATTACGGTTCGACCTTGCATGCAGAGGGGCAGCTACAGCTTTCTGCTGCACCATTATATTACAACTAATGCTACTTGTACAAAACCTCTTTTCTTTTTGTGCTCCTATAAACTACAACTTGTTTTTTGGAACTGTATTTTCTCAGATAAATTTATGTCACGCCCTGTGTTCATAAATCTTAATGCTTTGCTGATTAATTGCGGACAGCTGGACGTATATGTTTTAGGTTAGCAAATCTGTGGTGGGCTACTATAGCAGCAGCACAGTCACAGTCTGAGTCATTTTCAAGGCCACGTGTCGATCTTCCTTTTGGTGGTCACCGGGAGTTGGTCCTCTTTACCCGGACATAGGCCTCGTTCGTATGACTGATGGCAAAGGAAAGGCAGAGGCAAAAAAACTCGCTGAGCTCAAACTCATCAAATTGGGAAGTGGTTAGGGATGGGGTTTCCGTACCATTTTTTGTCTTTTTTATGAACACTTAAAGGGCTCCAGCTGGCCTTGAAATTTGGGATGTACTTTAATTCACCAACCTCTATTCCCACCTGGCTGTCTCCCACTGTTTTGCCAACTACTCCAACAATTATTAAGTTTCTTGGTTTAGGGTTACTGCAGTACATTTCATATACATATTTTCGACAATGCGATATTCTAAACGACTCTAACTCTAATGTACAGAAAGTGAACCAAACTCGGGTGTAAAGTAGAGACTCACTGGCTTGGTTGGAGACCTCAACCTGGAAAGAAAGTACGAGATAGGCCTGAAAATTATATTGAAACCGTTTCTTTCTGATCAATGATTAAGGCATGCATGGTATGTACTATGTAACATGTTGTAGAGATGAAGAAAGAGTAAAAGGGTATAGGCAACTAAATTCACTCAAATAACAAATTAGTGAACCACTTCATCACCCAAAAACTGTAGACAGAGCATTGTTCATATTTGGTACATTGCTTGAGAATCTGTATGGTAAACTTAACTGCACACTCTGCTATTCACTTCTAAACCATGTTTTCCTAACCTCTCACCTTTCTTTCACACTCTATTCCTATAATCTGATCATTTTTCCAGTTACAGAATTACAATTATTTTTTTTACCAGGGAATCATATGAACAACCATAGCCCGCAGTAGCCTGCCATGCTACACGATCTTCGTCTACAATTACTCGAGTCAACTCCACATTCATCGTCTGTTAAACACCTGTGGTCACTACGAGCATCAGGGACATGGCAAGCACTCTCAACTTGTTGGCCGCTACATTCCCATGAATTCAATGTTGTAGGAGGACAGACTTGCTTTGACATTGAACTCGTCCGTCGTGCTTGGTTTCCCGTCTGCACAAGTAAAAACATTTTTTCAAAAGTTTATGTTGGCTCAAAGGAGATCTGCACCCAAAAAAAACTGGTGCATTTTCAAGAAACATATATTCAGTTTGTTATGGATTGGTTTCCAGCTATAAAATACTATGCATGCCTTTAGGTAGAAGCAACACCTTGAGAAGAGTCCGGTTAGTCTGGATGTAGGTCTCTGGAAGTCTGTCATGCCAACTGCTTAACACTGGAAGGGGGTGACCCTCAGTTGTGAAAATATAATTTTTTTCAACCAAAAAAGAATCATCGAACAGAAGAAATAGATACTTGCACCTATAAAAAAAACAAAATCATTTCAGATATATGTTAAAGTGAAACAATTTATGGCTCTGGGACAATTTTCTCTGTAGTTTCAAAGTGCAAAGGGAACAACTCTTACGTTTCAGCAAGGAAGAAACTATGCTGATGATCTTCCAACTGCATAGTTGTGACATCTCTAATGCTAGCAAAACCTCCATCCACTTTTGTGTATAAGTTCAGAGAATTTACAATTGATTCTCCCACTTCTATGTACCACGGATCTGATTACATGCAACACAGTAACAAATATGACGCAAACAAATCAGAAAGTTAAAAGGAGCAGCTAAGGGCCTTGCCACAATTCGCAGAAGGGTTCTTTTTTTGGTTCCTTATAACATCTTGATTAAAAGCAACTAGCATCTGAGAGTACTGAAATGTCTGAATGCTTATAAAAGATTGCCCGGAAATTTAGCTCCATGTAAAATTGAAGATAACTAATAAGGAAAGATATCAGACCTTTGGTTGCTTGATACAAGTAGAATGTTGATTCTGCCAATTCAGGGCGCAGGGGATAATATTTTTCTGTGGGATGCAACATTTGATGGTCCAACAAATATCTATATGATTACAGTTCATATTAGACCATTTTCATTTTTTCCCTTACGAAAAGAAATACTGCAGCAACAGGAACCAGCCATAGAAACTAAGAAACAAGTCAATAGTTACTTACAGACTATAAGATTAGAGTCTATAATGAGAAAAAGGATTTTGAAAAGCAGAATACCTCTCTGGTAGTACTCCATACTTTTTCCATACATAGACGAACTCACGGTGCGATGAATTTGCAGCTGCAATATCACCAACAAGAACCTAAAACCATAGTTCATATCTAAAGATTAGAAGGCTCTTTAAGAGGTTTGAAGTCATCAAGTAAAATGGCAAGGTTTTAAATTCCCTGCCTGTAGGCCAGGCCAAAATGCCTGAAGGCTTGTCAGCTGCCAATAAGTTGCTTTTCCTGTCCTCATATCAGCTTCATGGTACCTAATTACAGTAACATGCTTGATCACAAAAATGTTGCAGTCCACTCATCTCAATTTAAATGCATAGCTAGAGTTCAATTTTTTAACACTTTCAAAGTACCAATAAAAAATTGAATAAGGCTAAGGGAGGTAGTGCTGTACCATGGACCATGTCTGAAATATTTCTGCACAGCAATATAAGCAGAATGAAACATTCTCCAGAACTCCTCCTTTCCAAAAAGAATGTGGGCCTTAAATAGATACTCATAAAATGAATCAACCCCTAAATGAAGCAACACATAATCCAACATCAGAAACATCACACTCTATGCATTCCAGATGCAACAAGGAATGCTTTTTAATGGTGTGCATCACAGCAATTCATCATTGACAGACTGCCAAAGGAAATATTGGCCTGTGCACTATTTGGGAAAGCCAATAGACTATGTAGCATATAATGTATTACGTTGAAAACCTCAAAGCCCTCGGAAAACCTACCAGCCCCAATCCCAGTTGAATACTCAATCCATTCCCCAGTTGATACATCCAGTGTTGTACCAAGTAAATTCAACGAACTCCGCATGCTCCATAATTTACGAAGAGCACGTAAAGCTGCAGATTCATATTTGGGGTCTCCAGTCAATCGGGATAATGCTCCCATTTCCAGAATTAGAGAACCTGAACTCATACAGAGAATCAAGACATTCAGGAATGCACATTTATTGATGTCCTCATCTCAATACTGCAAAAGAAAGCCCCTCACCACACCCTGAAGTGCTTGTTTCAGTAGTCTCATTCTCCATCACTCCATACTGTCCACAGAATTTTGCATTGATGCGGAGTCATATATCCTTCTTACAAACAAAACCACCAGACCGTTTTCATATAATTTTAAAACTCGAAAGGTGAATTCTTGAAAAGATTACACCTAACTGTATTTTAGACTGATGATAACAATTTGGAAATAATCATATCATGCATACACCCCAAAAATCAAAATGTAATTCGTAATTGGACCTCAGCATGTCTCAGGTAGTACCTTTAAGTTAACCCATGCAAATGGCAACCCAGTGGGTGTGTCAAATGCAGGTAGAAAGCGTTTCCCCAAATCCTCGGCCAAAGTAAGCAGCTGATTTTTGTAAACTCCTTTACCCAACCTGTCCGTGGAATCAGTCGCAAGTAGGTGAGCAGAAACAAGTCCTCCAAGCACTCTTATGTTGCACTGCATAATAGCAATTAAATGGAAAAGAGAACCATTATAAAACTTCAAGTACATAACTTGACAACAATAACAGTAGCTACATCACATTTTGAGCAATCTGAAGATAGGAGAATAATGAAGTTCTAGGATCAGCATAACGTAACCAAAATAATTTTTTTCCACAAGCTCTTGAATAGATACCTCAAAAAGATTTACCCTCGCATCGACATTGAACGTTAAATTTTCAGAAAGCCAAACGACTGCGCTTTGAAATTCAGTGTTGTTACCCATAATGACAAGGCTGAGAGAAAGTTTTTGCATCAGAATGAAACAAAAATGTATATCAAATGGAACAGAAAGCATATAAATTTAAATTGCAGAACTGTATCACTGACAACAAATCGGTTGATAGCAAACCTGGACAATGATTCTATAAGTGTAAGAGCAGATCCACTATAGTCTTGAGGTAGGCGTTCAAGCTGAAATAGGGGAAACAAACACTTCAATTTAGTTTTGGAACTAATCATAATTCACTTTATCTGCAGATATACAGTTACCTTCAGATTTCCAAGCTCACTAAGAGAGTCCGTGAAACTTTTACTGAGAGGCTTTAGCTCATCATGCTGCAAAGAATAAATAGTTACTATATCATTCACCAGAAGTGCATAATCTGAAAGAACAAAGGAGGAGAAAAGCTAACCGGAAATGCATGGATCATGTAGTTGTCATATGCATGGTAAAACCTGAAAGGAGAGAAACAACATTCCTGTTAGAACCTTGTTATATGCACAGGAAAATTCACCTACCGCTTGACCATTATAAACAAATTTTCAGGCGATATTCATAACATGCATTCGCTCCAAATTGATCAGCACCCTTCAAAGCTTGAACATAAAGAAAAAAAAAAGCTAAAATTTATATTAAAAAAACTAATTGAGCCGAGGCAAACCAAATAGCTGGGAATGCCTTAATTTCCCCAAGCTCAATACTTCAAGATCTTAAATTTATATTTCCATCAATATTTGATCAACCAAATACCATATGAAGCATCAAATATCAGTCCCACCAAGCAGTTATCTTCACTTTTGTCAAATATCCATACTTTTTCAAAGTTAAAATAAAAAGAAGCCCTTTTTTTTCTTTTCCCCTACAGACCAACTAATTGGTACTCATTAAGCTAAACTCAAATCTCAGATTAGTGAGCAAATCACAGATAGCTATCAAACTAAATTGAAAAATAATGAAGAATTGACGAAACTGAAAGAAAAAGAACCAAGGCAGTGAAGGTGAAATTTGACATTACATTTTGTGGACTTTATCTCGGAGGCGTCTCTTCTTAGCTGCCCAACGAGCATCAGATTGCGAGGTCGATAAGTTTATGATGGCGGGAGAGAGCAGCAGGAGCAGCAGAACCCATGTCATAGATTTGAGCGGCAACATGACCGTTGCTCAATTGGGATGCCCAACGACAGATGCAGAGAAAGTCTCTCACCTGAGAGAAGCGGGTCTTAAAGCTTTGCGTTTCAGGCGATTGCTGAAGACGGTACTGTCGTGCCAGTATTAGAACAAGAGTCCATTGATTGACTTCCACGTAAGCAAATGAAGAACAGGTGGAATTATTTGATTGGTGAGAGAGTGTCATCATTTTTATTTTAAAAAAACAGTGTCATAATTATATTTCGATGAAATTTAAATCCGAGAAGAAGAAAATAAATACGATTTAAATCCTAGAATTTCATAAAGATGAACATAAAAATAGATGTTACCAAAATTGAGTTTAGACTAGATTGGTCCTCTACCAAACCTTGAGCCACAATGGCATAAATTGGAGAAATTATAAAATACTACGATAATATAGTCACGTGATACATCTTGTACGCATGTTATAATAAGGGTGAACGACGTTGTTTATTTTCCTTTTTTTAGAGAATAATATCAATAAAAATCCACTTTTATTATAACCATGTATACAAGAAAACCGCTCAAAATACACTGAGTTCTGTCAGTCTCTTTTATGTTTTAATAATGGGGGCCAAGTCTTGTGGCCAACAAAATTTGCTTGTGATTTTTGGTAAGTTGTAAACATATTTGCATGGAGCAATATTTAGGTAGCTCTTGCAATTTTGTATATATATATATGTGAGTTTTTCTTGGTTAATTATAATTTATAAGTTAATGCCTAAGTTAGGAAGAAAGTTGTTTTGGAGACGGTTGATGGGCAATATAGCCTTCATTTGTGTGAGATAGGAATGAGTCATAACATAAGCTAAAAATGCCATTAGTTTTGTCCTAACATTATGTATGCTTCTTTGTAGCTTTGTTCTCAACCCTAACCTTTGATATAAAAAAATGTTAAAAAAAACCTTTGATAATCTTGACGACAATCAATAAGGCTGCCTAATCAGAATCAGTTGGCAGCCGTTCTCTCCGGTCCAACGCACTCCTCGCTCGAAATTAAATAGCATACCAGAACCCACATATGTACATTAAAAAAAATTCCATCTCTATATGCAAAAATAGCATACTAATTATATAAAAAAAATCTAAAAGGACGTATTTGCCTTTCAACCCGTCCCTTGCATGCATGGTAGGTGTAATAACAGCACATCAAAATCCCCTAAAACCCCTCCCATCCACAAAACATCTACACCACCTTATTCCCCCCTTCCCTCCATTTTTCTCAAACCTTATAACATAATTTGCCTTCTCTTTCCTACCTCCATTGAGGAAACATCTCTCAGGGGAAGAACCAGGTCTCCTCAAGCCCTGATCTTCCTCTATCATCATCATCTCTCTCTCTCTCTCCAAAATCAACCATGGCTGTTCCTATACTTCTCCTCCTCCTCCTCTTCTTCTCCATCCCCTTCTCCGAATCTAAGCTCGACGAAGACTACTACAAGCAAACATGTCCAGACTTCCAGAAAATTGTAAGAGAAACCGTGACCCTAAAGCAAGCCGCCCAACCCGTCACCGCTGCAGGCACTCTCCGCCTCTTCTTCCACGACTGCATGGTCGAGGGATGCGACGCCTCCGTCTTCATCGCCTCCAACCATGTCAACAAAGCTGAGCGCGACGCCGACATCAACCAATCCCTCTCAGGTGACGCCTTTGAGGTGGTCGTCCGTGCGAAGACTGCGCTCGAGCTCACCTGCCCGGGAATTGTCTCGTGCGCGGACATTCTCGCGGAGGCCACCCGTGACCTCGTCACAATGGTCGGCGGGCCTTTCTACCCCGTCAAATTAGGACGAAAAGATGGACAGGTGTCCTTAGCGTCCAAGGTTGATGCAAACTTGCCAAAAACAAACCAAACCATGGATGAGATTATCAAGCTATTTGCTGACAAAGGTTTCACAATCGAAGAAATGGTGGCTTTAACAGGTGGACACACAATTGGGTTTTCTCATTGCAAAGAGTTCACCGATAGGATTTTCCATTACAGCCCGACTACACCAACAGACCCAGTAATCAACCCAAGATTCGCCGAAGGGTTGAAGAAGACTTGTGCTAATTACACAACTAACCCTGCCATGTCTGCCTTCAACGACGTCATCACACCCGGCAAGTTTGACAACATATATTATCAGAATTTGAAGAGGGGTTTGGGGCTGTTGTCTTCAGACCACGCACTTGTCAAGGACCCAAGAACACTGCCTTTGGTGGAGTTGTACTCTATGAACCAGGAAGCGTTTTTCAAGGCTTTCGCTCACGCAATGGAGAAGCTTGGCCATCATGAGATCAAGACCGGACAACAGGGTGAGGTGAGGCGGAGGTGTGACGCGTTTAACACGATTCAGGCTTAGATTATTTGATGAAGAAGATGAAGATGATGAGATGAGATGATTGTTGTTTGTTAAGGGTTTTCATTTGGCCATGGGATATATAAATTCGTCACTTCAGAACAAGGGAGAGTTTTTAAATATTTTTTCTTAATTCTCTTTCATATATGTGTCGTGACGATGATAATGATGGTACACGTTCATGATTATATGATATTTGAGTATATATAGACATTACAAATTTCATTTGAGATTGGAAGCGTGATGAAAGAAGGAATTTTTTATATCACTCTCCATCGGGTTTAATTAGGAGTTGTCATGATCAATACACACACACACACACATATATATATATATATATATGCTAGCTATATCTCTCAAATTGACAATACATAATGTCATCTCAAAATCAAAACTTATTAGTTAAAATGTTCTTTAGTAAATTACAGGATTTGATCTCTATCTAGAGAAGATAATAAGTATAAAATATTGATGAAATCAAATAAGTAACAGGGAAAATGAAAAAGAAAAAGAAAAAAACTCACACACCGCAATTGTATATCTATATATATATGATTTTTGAACAAAAAGACTGAGCATATCCATTGCTAATCCTTCTCAGTTTTCAGACATGATATATAACATTAAGATGTGTTGTTTATAAGGGCAGGGGAAAAACGCACTAACAGGCACATCACACAGATCTAAAAGAAAGTGGTCAATGAAAAACACCATCTTTTTACAGACTAACTATAAACATCATCTTTGCACAAACACCTGCATGCATGCATGCATGACAAATTTGAACGTCAAAAGAATTGCATCAATCAATGCATGCATGAGCTTGGAACATTTGAAAATCGTCATACTAGGTACGTATACTCACCCGGAAAATCATCTCTCATGAAGTTGGAACATCAAAAAACACAAGTCACCTATCATCCATTTCCACCAGCGCGCGTCAATCCCCATTGCAGAGTATATACATATATATATATATGTGTGTGTGTGTTATTTTTCATTAGCTTTTTAATTTTGAAAGCGGAAAATAGGAACTTTTGGGAACAAAAGTTGAAATGGTTATGAATAAAACGATCAGCTTTTTAATTTTTCACTAACTGTAACGCGACGAACAGCTAAGTAAGTCAATGTAAATACCAGCCTCAGGCCAAAGAAAAGCTCCCACAAACCGAGTTGTAGTTTCTAACAAGATCAGTTGCTTTTTTCAGCTGTAGATACTTCTATTCAGTTACAGTACAGCTCGAAGTTGTTACTTGTTAGCCAGTTTTTTATCACACTTCATTAAAACAGTTTGTACTATATTTTGTATAAATACACACCCCTTATTTTCAGTACTCTTCAATCATTCAACAAAAGACATGCTTGGTTTCCTATAGCATTAATAACGAGACAAAGGAAGATCATTTCTTCCTCCTCCTCCTCGTCATCATCATCTATCATCTCTCATCTCTCATCTCTTTCTCGAGCAATGGCTCTTCCAGTACTTCTTCTCCTTCTCTTCATCACAATCCCCTTCTCAGAATCCAAACTCTCCATGGAATACTACAAAAAAACATGCCCCGATTTGGAAAGCATTGTACGTGACACCGTGACCGTAAAACAAATGGCCAACCCCACCACTGCCGCCGGCACTCTCCGCCTCTTCTTCCACGACTGCATGGTTGAAGGCTGCGACGCCTCCATTCTCATCTCCTCCAACCACATCAACATTGCAGAGCGCGATGCCGACATCAACCAATCCCTCTCCGGGGACGCCTTGGAGGTCGTGGCACGTGCCAAGACCGCCCTCGAGCTCACCTGCCCAGGCATTGTCTCCTGCTCTGACATCCTCGCCCTAGCCACACGCAACCTCGTCACCATGGTCGGCGGCCCGTTTTACAAGGTCCGCTTGGGACGAAAAGACGGAAAGGTTTCTCAAGCTTCAAGAGTGGAAGCCAATCTCATCAGAAGCAACCGAACCATGGAGGACATCATCAACTACTTCGCGGTTAAAGGCTTCACGATCGAAGAGATGGTGGCTTTGAGTGGTGGACACACAATTGGATTCTCCCATTGCAAAGAATTCGCGGACAGAATTTTCAATTACAACAGAACCACACCAACAGATCCTGAAATGTACCCAAACTTTGCTGAAGGGCTGAAGAAAACTTGTACCAACTATCAAACGAACACCGCCATGTCTGCTTTCAATGACGTGATTACACCGGGGAAGTTTGATAATATGTATTATCTGAATCTAAAGAGAGGGTTGGGGCTGTTGTCTTCGGACCATGCACTTGTTAAGGATCCGAGGACGAGGCCGTTTGTGGACTTGTACGCTGCCGACCAGGCTGCTTTCTTCAAGGCTTTTGCTCATGCGATGGAGAAGCTTGCCCATCAGGGAGTTAAGACGGGTCGCAAGGGTGAGGTCAGGCACAGGTGTGATGCATTCAACTTCATTCAGTCTTAGAAGATTGTTGTCATCCACGATTGAATTCACCAGACAACAAGAGAGAGAGTTTTTTATTTGTTTTTATTTATCGTTTTACATATGATTCATTGTATCAAGATGATTATAATGATGATATATGCATGATTATATGATATTTGAGAAGTTTGCCATATTTATAATACAAATAATTTCATTGAAAGAAGGAAATGGTTAATTTCTTTTTAAAACTCAATTTTATTGTTTTTAAGAGAAAATTCTAAGAGTTGAGTCTCAATGGGGTGTATCCAATTCTA